CGAAAACCCACTTAGATGGCATCCCGAAGACCTAATCATGGAGGCATGCACAATGACCCAACCTTAAGGCATAAGACACCAACTCTTCAAAGCTTTGAAAGGATGACAAAGGCAAGTGTATGACCATAAAACATGCACTGAAATATCATTTCAAATGATGCCAAATCATGAAAATGGTCTAAGCAATGCATGCTAATGACTTGGACACTCAAAGCTAACAGGCTAGATTGAACCATGGCTATACAAAACAATGCATACATGACTAAAACAACATGAAACAGAGCTCTAGCATGGTAAAACATGAGGGAAAGCTTCTTTGAGTTAAGCCAAAACATGCAAGAATGATGGTCTAAACACAAGACGCTTGTTAAGGCAAATGAGAGGATTGCAAGACAAGTGTATGATGCATGTAAGAGGCTATCAAACCAACTTAAAATAGAGGTATAGCATGGCCAAATAACACCAAATACTTGCTGAAATGAAGCCAAAACATGCTAAGCAAGCATGCTACCATTATGAGCCATAAATACAAGCAAATGAGACACAAGGAGAGTGGGGTGTCCCTCTCCTATTCAAGACTCCAAAACCACTTTACCACCACTCAAAATCCTCTGGATTTCAGTGGTGAGAAGGTCAAAACAAGATAGTTCCAAAGCTCAAAAGGGAAGGCACAAAACAAGGCCAAACAAGGCCTAAGAGGGGGTGGACAACCCCCAACACAAAAGTGACCTTAACCAAACATCACAAGCATGCAAAATCAGAACTTATTGTAGTAGAAAGTTAAGCTTAAAATAGTATGCAAGTATGGCCAAAAGCTTAAGCAAAAATAAGGGTTTAAAAACTAGAATCTCACCTTTGAAGAACACCTTCAAGAACACAACTCCAGCACTCTTTCTGAGCTTAGACCACTCCAAAAACACCAAAATCAACTCCTCAGTACCTCAGCAACAAAAGGATGGTGTTCTAGTAGGTGTTTGTGTGCAATAGTGTGAAGATTTTACACTTTTGGGTACAAACAAGGGCTAAACAAGAGAGGGGTAGAATATAGAGAGATAGTGATATATAACTTCTATATCCAATTTTTAAAACCTTTTGTGAAGGGAGAGGGGTCTCCCTTCTTATAGAAATTCAATTTCAAAGCTTTTTAAGCAAGCTAAGCTTGGTTCAAATCCCTCCATACACGTGTATGGAGGATACAAAAAGTGACCAATAGCTGGCACCAGCTGGAAACACAATCTTTGAAAAAGCAAAAAAAGGGGCCTCGGCCAAAAGATATGGCCGATCGTCCAAAAAAGGTGCCGATCGGCCAAAAAGAGTGTCGATCGGTGTAGACGTCTCCAAACGGCCCGGGAGGGAATCCCATTTTGTTCATTCGGGGCTCACTACAGTTCAGACTCAATGTCATGGTTCTGTATCTAATCTCGTAGAGTGCAATGCAAGACCGATGAATCATCAAAGAGTCCAAATCCGGTAAATCGTTTTTGAAAACAGATTTTTTTGAAAGAAATGCCAAACATGGACTGCTTTTCCAAATACAGAGTCGCCACCTAAATATTTTATTTTCCGGAATTTAGGAAACCCTGACTCATGCCTAAGGCCACGTGTCCGTCATCACCAAAGTTACCTCAGCTCGGGAACTTGGGTACGATTGGGGAAGGTCACTTCGTGAACACCCTCGCTCGCCCGATCAAAGATCGGCCTCTACTAACCATGATATTTAGTTTTGAAAACATTATGCGTTCTTATTCCGGTTATTAGCCTAGATTTATTATGTGATGCGCACAGCATACAAGTGTAGATTGGATCGCTCAAATTGGAAGAAAACATTTCATGTTTGTTTTTTAAAGCGGTTTGCTACTCGCAAGTAGGCTAAAAATACAGATTTTGCCACCTTCGAGTGGGCTTAGAAAAGATGGTTTTGCCACTAGCTAGTGAGCTTAAAACTCACAGCCAATGCATTATTCCAATTCAGATAATCCAACCTTCACCCACA